CCCAAATGACTGACCTTTAATTTCACTGTGTGTCCCCTTTATGCTGGCAGTGTGACGAGATTAAAATGAGGGGCCATCATTTTTAATTAAATCTTTCTTTCATTTTGGACACCTCTATCAAACAGCTTTTAGTTTTTCTCCATTTTTTCCTAAATAATCTTGGGTTACAGTGACTCTCTCTTTTTATTTATGTGTTGAAGTGCTTTCTAATATAACCTTAAAAATTCCTTCTTTTACAGTCTCTTACCATGAGTTGTTTCTGCTTGCGCCTCGGGTATCTTTTCAGCAGTTCCTGCACAAGATTGAGACGCTATCATCTGGATCAGCATGCTCTGTTGTGTGATACATTATCCTGATGGAATGATCACAGGGGCTACAATAGCCTTGTACAATAAAGCCAGCTAAAAAGAGATGCATCCTTAAATTGGATGCTGGGGAAGAGAAAAAGGTTCCTGTTGGCCTGTGTTATTTTTAGTGCTAAATTGATAGTGGGGCTGTTGTTATTTTAGTGCCAAATTCATAGTGGGGCTGTTAGTGTTTGATGAGGTTGGTTGTAACAAACCAGTGAGAGGTTCTGTCTAGCATGTTGCAGAGATGTTTCTATCCTGTCTTTTACTCAGATGTGCTCCATAAATGTAGATATTTAGGGAATGCTGAATCTTTAGGATTGTCGAAAAGTAAATTACAATGCACAGTAATTGGGGCTGCAAGGTGGATTTTCTCCCTCTTATCCTGTGAAACTTGCATCTGTTTCCTTGGAAGGAAATAGCATCTTTGTGGAGTGGTAGGTCTAAGTTCCAAAGAGGACATGCTCTTAGTTTTCTTAGGATTCATTTGTTGAATGGCTAAGTCTCTCTTAATGGCAAATATTTGGAATATCTGTCCAAGACTAGGCAGTGCCTTTCAGAGGCAGGCTGTGCTAGTGGGCAGTGTGTTGGCTTCTGAACCGGAAGCAATACAGCCCCGTTCGTGTACTGTTGTGTGTGGGCCGGTGAGCTCCGCTCCAGAGGTTAGAGAGCTTGCATGAGGTGTTTTGGCACTTGCAGTGTATAGACATACTCTTGGAGGCTTTTTTGAGACATTTACAAAGAAAACTGTGAACTTTGAACACTTGGAACTGCTAGCCACTTCAATCCTAAGCAGGATTATTTGGTGTCACTGTAAAGGTGTTTGGCAGCAACACCAGGTTTTAGCTGCTGGTAGGGTCGGTGAATGCTTGTTAAAATCGCCTCACAAAGCTTGTCTCTCAACTAAATCTAATTATAAAGTACCTTCCTCATTTTTGGCACTGTTTTCCCTCTGTCCTTGTCATGCCTGGTTCCTTCTAGCCAAAACTGATCTTTAAAAGAAAAGCCTGGTCGCTGGTTAAGAATTACTTCAACTTGTTTATGCTCTTCTCAGGTCTCTGACTGTGGAAGTGCTCAGAGTAAAATTTTGTCTTCTCCATCTTCCTTTGACACAATGGCCTCATCTGGTCTCTGCTGCAGATAAGACCTACACCTCCTGTTGCAATTTATTAGTAAAATGGGAAGTAAATACACATACATTCAACTTTACATTTGACGCAAGTGGACTCTTGCAAACCAGTGGGTGACTTGGCCAGGTGAAGAAGGGGCAGGAAGCTCCAAGCACTAACTCTTTGTCAGGCCGGCTGAGGAAAGAGAACATGCACTTCCCGGTCATCCCTCATTCACCCAACTTGCCTTTCCTTTTTTGCTTCACCCTGGGTACACATACAATCAGCCTTTACCCATTGCTGTTTTAGTGCCCAGGGAGCACTGAAGGGATATCCTTACCCCCAGTGTCCGTGGCACACTGCAGGCATGTTACAGATGAGCTGAGACAGCTTTCCAGAAAATATGAATTAAAAATGTGCAAGCAAATATTTTTTAAGTCTGTGAAGAAACTGTAGGTGAATATTTTCTAATTCATCGGTGTCTTATGGCTTTGAGTGGGTTCATTCATATCAAGTCTCAGTTCTATAGTTTTTAAGAAACGCTTGGGCAGCTTTTAGCAGTTGCCGAAAAGATCAGTAATTCCCATTCAATCACTATGCTATCTGGGATGTCTGAATGGACTACTGACTAAGACACAGTCACCCAGATACTATACTGAAAGCTCAGATGACAAACGAGGACACTGGCTTGCTCAGGGAGCCTTGGCTGTTGGAGATGGTGACTAGATGGGCTAGTTAATCACTGCCCACTGTAGTGGGCACTTCTGCTTTAACAAGCAGTTCAGTGTGTTCTGGTCATCTGATACACCTACATCTATGTCTTTCTTTTATAACTGGGACTTCATTTTTTTTCTGCGGGAGGAAACCTTTCCTTCGTAATAAAGGATTCTGGGTCAGCATTGGTGGTAACATGTGGAAATATAAGTATTAATAAAAATGAATAGCTTTAATTCGCATTCAGAGAGATTCCAAATATGACTTAGATGAACAAATGCAAAGAGCCCATTTTTCACGTCTAGCATCTGTTGTAACTCCTTGAAATGTGAGTAAGGGCAATAGCTTGTTAGTGGCCTTTAAAGCCAGGCCAGAAACTTGGCAACAAGTATGTTTTAGCAAAGAGACTGATGGACATTATGGCAATAGTAACATCCAGTTACTAGCAGCAGACAGCAAGTGTTTGTGGAGAATGACCTTGTCTTTTGCTCTGATATGGGATGCCACTCAATCAGTTAATGTTCTTGGGGTCCTTGCACTTCTGTTAGCTTTGTCCCTGCTGTATAAACAGATATGGGGAATGGTAGGCCTGGTTTACATGCAGATTTAGTACCAGTATAATCATTTCATTTAAGGGGATGATGTTTTTTAATGAAATACTCATACAGATAGGACCCCTAGTACAGATGTGGTTATGCTAGTCGAGATTATTCCCCTTCCCAGAATGCAGTAGCTATACTGGTATACAACATCTTTATGTTGGGGTAATTGCATGACGGGGGTTGGTGCTGCTTTAACTACACTAGGCTATTTAAAGCCCTTGACCTGTGGCTACCGGTTTGGCACCGTTTCCCAGCACCAAATCTTCTCTAAACAAATAGGAGAAAAAATCTGAAACCTTCGAAAGAGAAATACTTGCCTTCAGATTGCTGTCTGAATCTGAAAAGGCCATGGTCCAGTAAACCAGTTCTCTCCTTGAGTCCCTGCCATCCGTTCCTTTTTCCCCCTTCTCATTCTCTCTCTCTCAACATCAAATCATTTGCGAAACCAAAGCAAACCTCTTAAATAAGAGAAGATCCAGAGGATGTCTGAGCACTCGGGACACGTTCACAGGGGTTTGAAGGCTCAGTCAGGCAAAACTCAAGGAGTTCAATGAAAATTTTAACTGAGTAAGAAGATCAGGATGTGATCTAAAATTACCTTTTCACCTCTACAGAGCAGTCTCTTGAGGCAGTGTGTTGCAGAGGGCCAGTGCTGCTCCTGCTACTGCTCTCTCCATGGATAAATTATTATCCATGTTGGAAATTGCAATCCTCAGTCCGGCACCCTGCAGAAGCACTGAATTCACCCAGAAACAGATGAGGCTAGAGTAGAGGCAGAGAGGAGAATCACATCCATCAAGGATACATTTTTAATGTCATCTGTCTGGAGTTACTTTTGAAAATCATGTGGTCTGAAAAGCCAAGGGCAGAAGCTTTTTATTCCCAAGAAATGCTTTCTGCAGTGATTTGTAAAGCACAACTAAGCTTTGAATATATTTTATTATAGAAACATGTAAATTGATAACAGTGACTCCAACCATCCCTCCCAGTTAAGTAGAGTAAACAAAACCTTATATTTAAAGAAGTGTCCTCTCCCTGCAATTACACCTCTGTGCTTCAGTAATGAAAGGAGCTGTGTAGCAAAATAAATATCCTTTTTTGTTCACAATGTAAGCTTCCCTGATGCCTTATACGTCATGATAGTGGGTGCCCTGCCACGTTGTTTTTGCTGCCCCAGACAGGGCAAAAAAAACATGGAAAAGTAATTGTGCGCAGCAGTGGCTGGGAATGGGTAACGAATGTAAATTTGATTGCTTAGTTGACATTTGTGAGGGGATGTTTTAATAGCACTTAGGCAGTAGTTAGTTATCATGTGCTGCTGCTTTTTCTTGTCTTGCATTTCAGTGCCCTAGTGCAAAAGGTCAGCAACATTACGAACTCCATTTCCATTTTGGCGTACGATACACTGTTAGTATTATTGAGTTTGACATTTTTATCAATAATTAATGCAAACCTCACTAACTAGAGAAAAATGGGGTTTCTCTTTCACAGCCGAAGTCTATAAGGTGCTGTTACACAAAGGTCTGAGGCCCCACAGTTCCTGTTGACTCTACTGAAGGTTGAAGACACACAGCATCTTGTGGAAGCCGGCCTTACTGGGCCAGACTGGAACAACCAGGGAGGGAGTAGCCAACCTGCAGCACTTCATTGTATAGAAGGGCTGGTTCTTCTGTTCCTTCTACACTTGTAAGAACAGAGTGTACTCTCCTAGGCCCCTGCCACACCTACGTGAGGTGTGATTAATCAGTTAATCATGTCTTACGTTGTAACCCAGCCACACATTAAAGCAATTAATGGTGTTATAAAGCAAGGAATAAGCCACAAAGTTATGCCACAAAAAATGTGGAATATGTGGCTGGTTCCTATGATGCCGTTAATTGGATATGTTTGCCCCCATGGCTGGGAGCCTAAATCAGTTGGCCGGGCTCCCAGCCACGAGAGTTTGCTACTTGAGTTAAGGATCCTGAGGAAAGGAAAGGAGAACAGCAGAGACTCTGGACTTCAGAAAAGATGATTTCGACTCAGGGAACGGAGGGGCAGAATCCCTTGGGAGGCCAGTCTTAGGGAGTCCGGGAGAGCTGGCTGTACTTTGAAGAAACCTTACTGAGGGCAGAAAAGTGAACCATCCCAGTCTGCAGGGAGACTAGCAGGCAGAAGACCGGTGTTGCTTAGCAGGGAAGTCTCCAGTGTGCTAAAACACAAAAAAGAAGCATATGAGAAGTGGTAACATGGACAAACAACTAAGGAGGAATGTAAGTGTATTGCTTAGGTATACAGGGATGAAAGCAGGAAGGCCAAAGCGCAATTGGAGTTGCAGCTAGCAAGGCTGTAAAAGGTAACAAGAAGGGTTTCTACAGGTATGTCAGCAGGGGGTTGAACTAGATGACTTCCTGAGGTCCCTTCCAGCCCTAACTTTCTGTATTTCTATAATTCTGTACTTGCCAGTGCAGGGAGAGCCCAGTATCGTGGTCCTGGGCTCCCCTGCACCAGCAATAAAGTGTGATGGGATCTGATGCACAATTATGCTTCCTAATCAGGCACGGCAAGCAGGAAGCATGATTATGTGGATCGTGCATCAGATCCCATCACACCCTGTGTGTGTGGAAGGGTCACTTAGGACCCCTTTTAGAAACATGGCAGAGGCAGCCGGTGTATGTGAGGTGCAGCAGAGCAGGGAGGGGGAAGGCAGTACAGTGGCAGATAGGGTAAGGAGCAGAAAGCAGAGCAACAGATCAGCAGGGTGCATGGGGAAGGGGGCAGAAAGAACAGTAGATCAGGAAGGTGATCAGTGTGGTTCTTGGGGAGCGTGTGGAGCTAATTTCTGGCACACCTGCCAAAAGGTTGGCCCCCACCGGCCTAGCAGGGTTTGCACCTCAAGTTTGAAATATGTAGACACTAAAGACACACAAACTCTTATCACAAGCCTTTCAAACACAGACACTTGATTCAGCCTTTCACACTTCTAACACAAATATAACTAGATATATATGGGAATCATTTTAAAAAGGTCCTCTCCTTTCTTGCTGTTGTGCTGCATTCTACTGAGTGATTGTCCAGCCTGCCCTAGAAGAATTTGGATGTCTTTGTCAGCGCTGTGCTGGGTGAATTATTCTGGTATTATTTCCTTAGAAAGATGTGTAGGAAGTAGAGCCCAATAACAATATGTGGAAGCCCTGAAATTTTTGTTGAGGAATGTTCTATTTCAGTTGTGAGTGGTTCTACATCTTTTCTATGATGATATATGGTTTGTGAACCCTAAATATTATATAGCATTTACACATGATGCACAGACAGCCTAACAGCCATGTAGCCCTTGATCCCCTTGTTTCTAGCTGCCACCTCAAGTGGCCAGATTTTTCATTGCAAAGCCAAGAAGCTTATAAAAGTATCTGGAAATTCAGAGAAGGAGCTAATGTATCAACTTTTTTGAGGGGGTGTTGCTCTACACTGATGTATAAAACTAGGACCTGCTTTAGGAACCACAGGTCCCAACAGTTAGCAGGGAAGACTATCTGGGCAAAAACTGAGTGAAGTAGTTGTGCAGTTTGTGCGTTATGTGGAAGAGAACTAAAGGGAAAGGATGAAAGGAGTTTAGCTTGTTTTCTTTTTTCCACGCCTCTTCCCCCTCACACATTTACTGGCTGGACGCTGCTCTCCAAGCTGCAAGCTCCATATCGGCCATCGGTTCAGCATCAACCAATATGGCTGGTTAATAATCTGCCACCAGTATTGGCCAAAAAAAGTCTTTATCGGTGCACCCCTAAAAGAAATAAAAAGTACTTTCCTACATGAGCAATTGCTTTAATTGCTGGTTTAATTGTGTGGTTACAAGTGGGTATAGAAGTATCTGCAGGACATTCTCTCTGTAAGATGTGGTTTCCTCTGAACAATTTTAAATGCATGACAATATGGGATAAAGATTGTATTCTGTAGCACTAGTCTCCTGGAGGTATTACTCCAGTTCACTCCTACAGGAAGTGTATTTTTATCATTCCTAACCAGTTGTTTTTCTTCTATTTCTCTAGCTTGCGCCTTCTCTTCCATTACAAGAAGATTTTGTTTACCACTGGAAAGCAATTACCCATTACTACATAGAAACTACAGGTAAAATAATCCATTTTTGCATCTTTACTATGGCAGGAGGCTAATTAGAATACTGAAAAGTGAAGATCTAAAAACCTTTCTATATTTCCCAATTAAGTGAGTTTTTCTTACTCTTGTCAAAATAACAGTAAATCATTTTTTTTCAAATGGCCTTTACTTGTCATTTCATCAGCTATCCCTCAGTACGAGGATGATGTCTACGAGGGGGGTATTACTAGTGAGTTTTAAGGTGGCTGAGGAGTCCAATCCATGCTCTGCAAGTTTGTCCACAGACATGACAAGGAGCAGGGAAGTGTTGGGGGGAGTGGGAGGTGTGGCACAACTGTTGGCCAGGTTGTTGTGTGCTTTTCTTCCCCCTGTGCCATTTATCAGCTTTCTGAACAAGACGGTTCTCTTCGAAGTGGGCTGTGTCTTGATGTATGTTGCAGTGCCATTGAGACCTGTTACCAGCCAGCACTTCCCAGTGTGTAGGGTTGATACCACCCTTCTTAAGATATGCTTTTAGGGTGTCCTTGTAGTGCTTCCTGTGTCCTTTGTGGGTTCTCTTACCATGTGTAAGTTGAGAGAAAAGGACTTGCTTCAGGAGACAAGTGTCAGCCACCTGCATACAGTGTCCAGCCCAGTGGAGTTGATGTTTCATGATCTTTGCCTCAATGCTGGTTACATTAGCTGCAAAGAGGATGCTGGCATTGGTGCAGTGATCTTCCTGTGTAAGACAGGATCTTTCTGAGGCACTGCCAATGGAACCATTCCAGGTCCTTAAGATAGCTTTAATATGTCACCCACGTCTCACACACGTAGAGGAGCACGGGGATAACCATTGCATTGTAGATCAGGATCTTAACTTCCATCTATTGATCACAGTCAGCGAAGATACAGCAATGGTCTAAAGCCACAGTGGATTTCTAGAAGGACATCTTCAGCAAGGGGGAGGAGGTGATTCAGAAGGATGCA